AGCCTGATTGTCTCCTTTCTTCTGTGAAACAGATTTATCAGGAATAAGGTAGGAAGCTTGAAAAGACAGCTTTGGGAGTGGGGCCTGTAAACATGGCTGAGCAGTGGCGCAGACCCACCTGTGTTTGGAGACTATCTCCTTTTATTGGTTCCTCTGTACAGTGTTCTGCCCAGGTGTGGAGAAGGGAAAAATTTATAATTGGATTTTATACACACGTGCATGCAGTCAGTAGCAAAAGATGACATTTTTGGAAGCCTGTTTCCAAAGAGAAGATAATTTTATGTATATGTAGATTTAGATACTCTGACTCACTAAACCTGGGATACATTCTGGATTTAAAAATTAGTGTAGGTTTATTATGTATTTGGGTTTATCAAGAGTAGCTGACTTAAATCAATTAGAGGATTGTATGTAGATCATTACAAGTCTTTATTTCACTTAGACTGTCAGGAAAGTAGGTTATTTTAGCCTTTGCTTAAAAATATGTTGTTGCTCTTGTTAATGGTATTTAGTAGATGATATGTTGGTGGTAATTCATGTCTCTTGGGAATGCATAAGAAATCTGTTTTTTTTCAGGAGTTGGGAGCTGGTCATCACTGGCATTGTCCCTTTTATATTACAGAAACATACTCAGCATTGCTTGATAGTCTGTTCCAGCTCCTTTTCACTAGATAGAATTGATAATTGTTTTACTCAGATATTGCTGTGCTTTAGGTCAGGGGGTCCCCAAACCCTGGTCCACAGACCGGTACTGGAACTGGGCCACACAACAGTGAGTGGTTGAGTGAGTGAGCAAAGCTTCATCTGTATTTCCAGCTCCTCCCCATTGCTTGTATTACCACCTGAGCCACCTCCTGTCAGATCAGCCGCAGCATTAGGTAGGATCTAATAGGATTTAGAACTGTGCAGGTGAGGGATCTAGTTTGCAGATACCTTATGAGAATCTAATGCCTGATGATCTGTCACTGTCTCCCCTCACCCCCAGATAGGACCATCTAGTTGCAGGAAAACAAGCTCAGGGCTCCCACTGATTCTACATTATGGTGAGTTGTATAATTATTTCATTATATATGACAATATAATAATAATATAAATAAAGTGCACCATAAATGTAATGTGGTTGAATCACCCCAAAACCCTCCCTGACCCCTGGCACTTTATTTAACTTCTCTGAGCCTCAGCTTTTGTTTTGGTTAAGTATGGATTGTATTATCTACTGAGGTTTTACTTGTAAGAGTATTCTGCAGGATTCAATGTTGGTAGGACTTTGACCTCCTTGCAAAAGAGCTCTCCTGACCATTGTTTAAAACTGGTTGTAATGCTTTATGATAAAGATGAAGGCAGTTCATATGTCTTGACTGCAGAATTCTAGAAGTCTTTCACTAGAGTTGCCTCTATGTCCTTCCAACTACCATTGTTTTGACCTTGGTGGAGACTGTTAATTGGCTTTCATTTTCTTGGAAGAGCAAAGTCACCAACAGGTGCTTCTAAGTGAAGTATTCCTTCCCATTTGCCTTTTTCTTATAGCCTCGTTTAAGAAGGGGCGAATAAGCAGACAAAGCAAATGCCTCAAATTCTGGATTGTCTTCACCTGCTTGTGTATTCTACTCAAGTTCCTGACCAGGATTAGTTCTATAGTCAGTGATACAGTTTGGCTGTGTCCCTACCCAAATCTCAACTTGAATTGTATCTCCCAGAATTGCCACGTGTTGTGGGAGGGATCCAGGGGGAGGTAATTGAATCATGGGGACTGGTCTTCCCTGTGCTATTCTCGTGATAGTGAATACGTCTTACAAGATCTGATGGGCTTATCAGTGGTTTCAGCTTTTGTTCCTTCCTCATTTTCCCTTGCTGACGCCATGATTCTCAGGCCTCCCCAGCCATGTGGAACTGTAAGTCCAGTTAAACCTCTTTTTCTTCCCAGTCTGGGGTATGTCTTTATCATCTGCAGGAAAATGGACTATACAGTCAGTTATACAGTGTTTGAAAATTTCTTACCCAGGAGGGTATGAGCCAGAAACCCAGCAAGTTTAGCAGTCTGCAGACATTGCCTCTAATTCTACTTCATTGGCATTAGAGGGGATATGATTCCAACAGAGGGGAGAATAGGAATGGACCATGCATATGGGAGATTTGCTGGGTAAATGAGTTAGTTCTCTAGAGCTTTTTGGGTTCACATTTTTATTGAGGCTAATTTTATTTTTTATTTATATATTTTTAGAGACAGGGTCTTGCTCTGTCACCCAGGCTGGAGTACAGTGGTGCCATCATAGCTCACTGTAGCCTTGAACTCCTAGGCTTAAGCAGTCCTCCTGCCTTACCCTCCCAAAGTAGCTGGGACTGCGGGCACATGCCATGGGCCTGGCCAATTCAATTTTTTTTTTTCTTTTGTAGAGCTATGGGTCTCCCTTTTGCTGCCCAGGCTGGTCTTGAACTCCTGGCTTCAAGCAGTCCTCCCACTTTGGCTTCCCAAAGTGCTGGGATTACAGACATGAGCTACCAGGCCTGTCCCTAATGTGCATTTTAAAGCCAAACATCGTTTGGGATGTTACGCTTTTAGCAGTTGCAGTCCTATTGCTGCTTCTTTTTAGCGCCCAATCCCTATTTGTTAACTATGTTATGTCTGTATTTTAACATTTTCATTCTTGGGCTTAATACCTAGGTGACGGGTTGATAGGTGCAGCAGATCACCATGGCGTCCTGCAATGTATCCCGGAACTTAAAAAAAATTTCATTCTTATGTTTATGTCCCAACCAGGATTGTTTTTGTATCTTAGTGTCTACACACTTGGAAAGAATTCACAATTAGATACCTAATATACATTTTAGGGTGTTTTTTCTACGTGATATCTTTGTGTATACCTCTAGCTAGTAAGTAGCTCATCTGCTTAGTGTTTGACTTTACTTATCCCAATTAGATTTCAAGTCAATTGCATCTCTGAACTTTAATTTTTCTTAAAACATCATGTTTTATTGTGCCAATTATTACTTTAGTATTGAAACCTGAATTTTGGTCATGAAATTTGAGTTAGGTGTTCTTATCTGGTGTGGTTTGGGAATCTCTTCAATACAGCTCTTTTGAATTAATGCTTAGAGTAATGGAGCTGGAAGGAGTGTCTGCTTCTTGCCCAGGTCTCTCATTTATAGAAGGGCAGAGGATACCTAGGGAGGTTAAGGGGCTTGGCCAATAACCCGTTGTTTGAAGAAGGATGGAGACAAGCGTTTGTTTCCCTAGTCTCAGTCAAATGCCCTTTCCATTTTACCCTCTTGCCTCCCTGTAATGCTGTTGGATAATAAGGTCAGGTAACTGCATTGGATAGAGCCTGTGTGCATTTTATTGTGAACTCCCTCTCCTCCTCCTTTTCATCGTATCTGCCTTAGTACTTAGCTTCTTTATTATGAATTAGATATTAAATCCTGTTCTCACATTGAGAGTGAATTCTTTCTCCAGAAAAGATAACAAACCTTTTGTTTGAGAGAGATTTTTCACTTTTCGAAATGGTCTGTGTGTTTGAAGTTACAGAAGAAAAAGAAGTGTAATGCACAGTTGTATTTATTACTCATGTGACCCTGGAAACATTTCTTACCTCCCTGTGTTTCAGTTTTTTCATCTGTAAAATGAGGATAATAATGGTTCCCCCTTCTAATGTTGTTTTTGAAGATTACATGAGTTAATACATGTAAATTGCTTAGAACAGCGCCTAGCACCTGATACAATGGAAGTGTTGCCTGTTGCCTATTGGGAGTTTTCTGTACGCCTTCACCTTCCCTTAGGACTTCTTGTCAGCCCAGTTTTGTGATTTTTCACCTAGTTTTTGTTTAGGAGACTCTACTTTGTTGATGTTTTTCTGAGAAACAATGTGCTTTCTGTTTTTCTCCTTTGACATTTGGTGATCATCTTTCACTGAATATTTGTTTAAGAAAGACGTATAGAATGTTAATTTTCATTGATTGTAGCTTTCTTCTTTTTAAGGATTTGGAATGCCCTGACGGATAATTATGGGAATGTGATGCCTGTAGACTGGAAGTCATCGCATACTAGGACCTTGCACTTGCTTACTCTGAACCTCTCAGAAAAAGGGGTAAGTTAGGAATTGAACCAACAGAGTTTGAATAACTCATGCTGGTAATACAACTAAAACAGCAGCATTTCTGCTTAACTCAGATTCATTGACCTGCCTCTCATTTCCGAACTTATGGCAGTTGGGGTGGCTCTGTCTTGCTGTCTTGGCTCTAGGGCCGTTACCTCGCTGGCACATTCCTCCAGTTCTTCTCCAGCACACTCACTTTTGTATGTGTAGCTAAATTTCTATCGCAATTTTTTTTTTTTTTTTGAGATGGAGTCTCGCTCTGTTGCCCAGGCTGGAGTGCAGTGGCTCACTGCAACCTCTGCCTCCCGGGTTCAAGCAATTCTCCCACCTCAAACTCCTGAGTAGCTGAGATTACAGGCATGCACCACCACGCCCGGCTAATTTTTGCATTTTCAGTAGAGATAAGGTTTTGCCATGTTGGCCAGGCTGGTCTCGAACTCCTGACCTCAGGTAATTCACCTTGGCCTCCCAAAGTTCTGGGATTATAGGCGTGAGCCACTGCGCCTGGCAGTGATGATGCACTGAAACACTCAGTACAATTTTGATGCACTGAAACACTCAGTAAAAATGCTAGCCTTTGGTTTAATATACTGAGGGTATTGGAATCTCAACATGGAGTTAACTTTTGAATGAGTGTAGTGACCTGCTAGACATGATATGTTGTCAGGAGACTATGTATTCCTGCACATAATGCAGAACCTTTAAAAGACATTTTAGTACTTCGCTTTTTAAATATGGTCTTGGCTAACTTATCTTTCTTGAGGGCTCCTGTGTATGTCCTGGTATTATAAAGTAAAGATGCCTTGACTAAGAAGTGTGAGCACAAGTGATAGGACAGGTTGGGGGCAGAAAAGGGCAGAGAATTACTTGAAATGCAAAATCACAGTGTTAACTTTGTTTAAGCTGTCGAGAAACATAGTCAAGTTATCTAAATTTCAGGCTGTTTAAGTTCCTTATCAAATAATAATGTAAACTCATGCCAGATCTTGCGTGCTCTGTATTTCATTAAGTGTAATTATGTGATTATTGGGAGTATAGTGCAGCAGGCCTGTCAGTATTTTAAATAGTATTGTTAATGTTTTGTTAAAAGGATTTTCTTATATATGTAATCAGAGAAGCCTACTGTTATTATTTTCTAGTAAAATGTAGAATTCTGGCCATGTTTCCCAGTATTCAGTAGCGATGGAAATCTTCCTGACTGTGCCAATCATTAATCCCATTAGGCTTTGCAGACTGACCTGGCATACATTTAATGAAAAGGAACAAAATGAGGGATCTTTTGCTCTGTCTTATGTTTACTTAGGTCCTGACTATCATTTTGGGCTTAGTTCAAGTTTCCCTTCCTCTCTGAAGCTTCCTATTACTGTTTTAGCCTTCGCTGATCTCATGGAATTATACAATGTTAGAGTTGGAAGGGGCTTTAAAGGACACTTAATCCAGCCTCTCACTTGGGGGGAATCCCCACCTCCAGCATCTCTGACAGATGGTCATTTAGCCATGGCCTAAATCCCGGCACAGAAGGAGAACACACTCCGCTCTGTGGGAACTGATGGCACTTGTGGGGCTGTGAACTTGGAAAGGACTTATTATCTGTGCCACGGGGTTTAGCCTTGTTGTCTCATGGGTGCTAGTCCCCAGAGCACTTTGTCCCTGTCTCTAAAATGACCACTGCCTTCTCTTGTTAATCATATGTTTCTGGGTGTGTCACTAGATTGTGACTTCCCGGCAGGCATTTATATTTGTCGTTATAGTAACTATACTGTTCCTGGCACATAGTAAATATGAAGATACCTGTTTATTGAGTGAATAAGTGAGTAGCCTTATTGGTGAAACTGTAGGGCCAGAGATCATGATAGAAAGGTTGTAAAAAAATATTTTCTATATTATTTAAAATAATGCAGAATGCACCGAAACTAGTCCATGGATACTACTTTTTTGACACATTAAAAATAGCATAGAAGAGTTTTCATTCATAGTTTCAAAGACAGGCCCATTAGCAGCATGAATGAGACACATTTATCCAATTTCACTGACTAAATGTACAGTGGGCGCACTGTGTCCTCTGGTTTCACATCTGCGCTTTAGCCAACTGTGGATTCAAAAACTTGAAAAAAAAACCCCACAGTAAAATAACAATAAAAAATAATAAAAATAAAAAACCAATACAATATAACAACTATAAACCATTTACCTTGTATTAGGTATTGTAAGTAATTTATATGTAATTTAAAGCTTACAGGAGGATGTGCAAAGGTTATATGCAAATACTACCCCATTTTATATAAGGGACTTGAGCATCTGCAGATTTTGGTATTAGGGTATCCTGGAACCAATTTCCCATGGATACTGAGGGACTGCTGTATATCTTGTATTGTTCTTGGATTGCATCTTGGGAAGTCGCTCCCTTTTGCTGCCTTTTGAATGTTATTTTCAATGCCAGGGTAATGATACAGCCAAGGTAGTGATTAGTAATGATGTAGAGTTTAATGCTAGTACTGACATTAAAAAGCTTTACTGGCCGGGTGTGTTGGCTCATGCCTGTAATCCTAGCACTTTGGGAGGCCGAGGTGGGTGGATCACCTGAGGTCAGGAGTTTGAGACCAGCCTTACCAACACAGTGAAACCCTGTCTCTATTAAAAATACAAAATTAACTGGGTGTGGTGACACATGCCTGTAGTCCCAGATACTTGGGAGGCTGAGGCAGGAGAATTGCCTGAACCTGTGAGGCAGAAGTTGCAGTGCGCTGAGATTGTGCCACTGCACTCCAGCCTGGGTGACAGAGCGAGACTCTGTCCCAAAAAAAAAAAAAACCAAAAACAGCCTTATCTGGAAAAACTCAGCAGATGAAAGTGAACACGTGATCATTCACCTATCATCTCTCTGTTGTGACATGACTATTCCAGTGATGAATAGAATTGAAATTAGAACTCTGTTTCTCAGGGAGGATTAGCACATACTGAGTTTCTGAAAAACAAATGGGCAACAAGGACTATGTAAGAAGCCACCACGTCATTCTATTACACAGCATATAATTAAACATTTTTTTTTTAACCTGGCAAAGTTACTGTATTTACCGTTGCCACTTGGTGCTCTATTCGTGCCATGATTAAGCTAAGTAAAATTTACCTTTTGAAAGCATTCTTTAGATTATTTTACTTATAAAACAAAGTCTATAGAAATTTTTTTTTTTGACACGAGGAATTTTTTTGCATTAAAGTGAGAAAAACATTCAGGAAAACTAGTTTGCTAGATTGCAGTTTAAAATTTTTCTTTGATTGAAGATTAAGATGGCACACTTCTAAATTTGATAGGTCTTTTTTAGAGTAAGGCAACTGGTATCTTTCACATTCTTATGTGGGCACATTTTTTCCATTTGATGTATCTTCAGTTTTATACAGGGAAACAGTACCACCAGGTCTGGATCTAACCCTGGCATTGGAAGGAGTGATGGGAATGCTTGGCAAAGAGAAGGCACATTTATGCCGAATGGGAGAGTGAATAATGATACCCAGGACAGCCAGGGCTAGTTTGCAAAGCCTGAAAGGTATTCCAGCTCTTAGCATATGCCATCTCTGTGGGGAATGGAGTTGGCTCTCTCTCTGGAAAGATGATCTGGGATCATTTCTGTTGTCATGGAAATTTATTATAATAGTTTACTGTTATTACTCATGTGTTTTGGCCATAAACCTGTTCTAAATCTGGTGCCATTCTTGAATATGCTTATATGATAGAATGCTTCTCATTCATTTCAGCTTAAGAACATCTTCCGTGCTGTATTTCTCCTTCCATGTGCATTTCTTTCAGGACAGGGACTTTTGTATGCATCTTTATACCTTTAAGAGTAGAAATAAGAAAAAGATAATAACATCTTCCATAGAAGCAATTTGATTGATTGATTGATTGATTGATAGATTGAGAGGGTGTCTCCCTCTGTCACCCAGGCTGGAGTACAGTGGCGCCATCATATCTCAGTGTAACCTCCAACTCCTGGGCTTAAGCGATCTTTCCGCTCCAGCTTCCTGAGTAGCTAGGCAGGAGCACTGCCATGCCTGGCTTATTTTAAGAAAAAATATTTCTGTATAGGCAAGGTCTTACTGTGTTGCTCAGGGTGGTCTTGATTTCCTGACTTCAAGAGATCCTCCCGCCATGGCATCCCAAAGTGTTGGGATTACAGGTGTGAGCCATGACAACCTGGGCTTCCTTAGGAGTAATTTTTTTTTTTTCTTTTGAGACATGGTCTGGCTCTGTTGTCCAGGCTGGAGCTCAGTGGTGCCATCTTGGCTCACTGCAACCTCTACCTCCTGGGCTTAAGTGATCCTCCCACCTCAGCCTCCTGAATAACTGGGAGTACAGGCATGTGCCATCATGCCCAGCTAATTTTTTGTAGAGATGGGATTTCACCATGTTGCCCAGGCTGTTCTCAAACTCCTGAGCTCAAGCAATCCACCCACCTCAGCCTCCTGAAGTGCTGGGATTACAGACATGAGCCACTGTGCCCACCCTGGATTAATTTTAAAATTAAAACTTTTAGTATTTATAAGCCAGAAGGGGAAAAAGAAAACAAAATCATGGTCCTCAAGCTGAAACATGGGAAGAGTGATTGGGAAGGGGATGTAAAGTGTTTGAAGTGTAAGGATCGATGAAGCTAATTGGTAGGTCTCCTCCATGATATCGACACGCCTTTGTGATAACAGTGTACCACGTTTTCATCTTCTACGATATTGAAATCATACATCTCCTCTCATCAAGAGCCTAGTCTCTTGATCTTGCTCCTTCTTTTAAACACTAAATTGTTAAAGGAACAGCTGTCATAGTTTAAAGAGTAAATTAGAACTGTAGGACTTAAATGAAAAGGCAGTCTCTGCTCCACTTACCTCGTCCTTGATTTCTCCTTACCAGAGGTGACCGCTTTAAATATCACCTATTTCTTCTAGCAGATAACATGCTCATGCCATTTTACTTGATATTATTTTCTCAATTTTAGACTTTATTTCTTTATTTTCTACCCAGAGAGTGAAGGTGTAGCTCTCTTACTGTCCTTTGCCAACCCCTGACACCATACCCTCCCAAAAACTTCCCTTTCCCCATCTTCCCAATGTAATTACATCAACATCTGGGGTTGAATTAATCTTCATCATTTATATTTACTTTTTTAATGTGCAGTTGACCCATTTTGATATATTTAAATTTTCTCTTTTTCTACTTAGGTTTTTTCTTAGGATACTAACTGCCTTTTTGTGGTTTATTTAGTGTATAATTAGGGGACCAATGCAGCCTCAGTAGAGCCATAGAACTCATTTTGGTAAATGGACTACACCAGGTAGTCTATCTAGTCCTTCTGCTCTCCCTCCCCACCCACCTCTCCCTCTTCTCCATGCTCTCTGCAGTAACAATTCTAATCTGAGTGTTACTCTCTAGTTTAGCTTTACAGTCGTCATTCTGGGATTTTCACTTTACTATCATGATGAGAATTCTTTGTCACTTGTTATTAGACCACATGTCTCTTTTCTTTTTCATTTTCCTTGTGGTAGCTTTTTGAGAAAGGGCACACGAGAGGTAAGTTTTTTCAGAACTTGTATGTCTGAAAATGTCTTTATCCTAAGCCCCTGCCTACTTGTTTTAGCTGGATATAGGATTCTAGGATGCAATTTCTCCAAATATGGAAGTTACATTGATTATTTTCTAGCATCTATTGTTGCTATTGAGAAGTCACATGACAGTTTGATTCCTGATCCTTTTAATGTGATGTACTTTTTTTTTTTTTCTTCTTCCCTGGAAGATTTTAGATTCTTCTTTTTTCCACATAGTGTTCTGAGTTCATGATGCTGGTGTTGAAGGCCATGGCCAGGCCTTTGCTAGGCTGATGGTGCAATAAGAAATAAAATGAGAAGGGATATCGTTACTTTGCAGGAGCCTGGAGTTGCACTGTAGGCTTGTAGGTGGACCCTGCAGTGTTGATGGGGCCCTACTCCCAGTCTAATGTTGGAAAGTCGACATGCCAGTGCTTCTTCCCTTGGCCCTTCTCACCTGTAGGTTTCTTACTCTGTAGGCTGTGTTTGCCTGCAGACTCCAGATGCTCATGTTATGAAGAACTAGGGGAGCACCAGGGACCTACATCCACTCCATTGTGTCCTCGGCTTTAGATATATATCCTTTGCATGGGTAAATAATTTTGCCAGGTAAAAGTTTCTCATTTTAGTTATACACTATGTAATAGAATGACATGGTGGCTTCTAATGTAATTCTTGTTGCCCATTTATTCTTTGGAAACAGTGTGTGCTAATCCTTCCTGAGGAACAGAGTTCTAATTTCAGTTCCATTCAGCACCTGAATGGTCATGTCGTAACAGATAGGTAGATGATAGACAGATGTTCACTTGTTCTTTTTAATCTACTGAGTGTTTTCAGGCCAAGTTTTTACAATCAGTACTGGTACTAAACTCTTAAGTCATTATTAAGGGGGCTGTTTATATTGCTGTGGGCAGAGTTAAGGGAAACTAACTAGATGTGGTGCAGTCCTCCAGGCTGGCAACAGAAACTGGTACTTTAGCTGTCCTGGACGTGAAGAGGTAAGGAGGGGGAGAGATTACCAGAAACTGTTGAGATGGGCTGTGTGGGAGAAGTCTGCTAATGAGAGCTATGGCTTTGGTGAAGAGCCATAGTCAACAAATGATAGTCTGACAAGGAGGAAGACAGCAGAATACATGCCCAGCCCTCACCATCCCACCCTCCTGTCTCCTAGTGTCTGCCAGTAGGGGTTGAACCCACCTGGAAGCCAGATAGCAAGGGCATCCTTTGGTGGAAGATGGTGAGGAGGTGAGTGGTGAATCACCAGCTCAGTTAGGTTTAAAGATGTTCTTGGAGCCTAGGGTTATTAGTTTTTGTTAAGAAGAAATGTGCAATTGGAAGGGCTAAGTGTGACACTCATGGACAGATCCCGCCTTTCAGGG